AGAGGGAGGAGGAGGAGGAGAGGGAGGAGGAGAGGGAGGAGGAGAGGGAGGAAGAGAGGGAGGAGGAGGAGGAGGTGAAAGACAAAGAGTTAGCGTCCTCCTCTGATCAGCTTCATCAGACTCGGTCCAGCAGCTCAGCATCTCCTGAGGTCTTGGAAATCCTGGAGAGTTTGAAGGTGTCTGTTTTCTGCAGCACTGTGTGTTTTATATAATATATATAATATCATTTACTCATCATCCTGCTGCTGCAGTAAATCCACGTCCCAACCTTCACTCAACAGTTTCATGATCTTTAAGAATAAAATGCCATATAAAACCAAAGGGCTGCAAAAATCCAAATCACGATTATTCATCGTGCATTTAATGAGCTTTAAAAAAAAACTGTAAAACATGAAGTAAAAAACAGATTTCAGAACAAAAATGTAGTTTTTCCAGTTATACACAGTATAAGTTAAAAGATTTCTGAGGGGCTCCTTCGTATGTCGCTAACGTAACCAGGAAGTGGATGGTGGGTTTTTGTGGGGACACACACACACACACACACACACACACACACANATGGTTTTTTTTTGGGGGGGGGATGCTGAATAACACAGAAGAAGAAGGAGAAAGTCAGCTGCTTTGGACAAAAGACATCACTGGAATACAGATGAGGCTGCAGGAGAGGAAACGAGGGAGGGAGCGAGGGAGGGAGGGAGGGAAGGGTGAGTACAATGTGAGCGGAGGCAACTTGTGAACTAAAGAGAGACGAATAAGAGACACACAGACCTCTCTCAGGAAGTAGGGACACAGTGATGTGTTTGCTTCGTGCTCGAGCGGCCTGCAGGACGACGCTCCTCGTTCCCCTTAAACGCCTCATGATCAAACGCCAGGCTCTGATCGCCCCCGTCCACCCGCACCAACACCCGCTGTTATCTGAGCTATTATTATCATCCACTGTTTCCGCCATCAGGGGGATGCCACTCTCTGTGTGTGTGTGTGTGTGTGTGTGTGTGTGTGTGTGTGTGTGTGTGTGTGTGTGGACACTAAACAAAATCTGTTTTACACTGCAGCACGTTATTAAAGGGGTTTTTGTTGCTGGAGCTGATGTTGATCCTGAGGATGATGCTGCTGGTTTTTCATGGTTGAGCTCATTATGTTTAAATCAGACAGACTTTAGTTTTTACAGTGATTTCTGTTTGGTTTAATTCCAACATGCAGAGATCTTGTTCTATTATAATCGTTTCTTACATTATAAAGCTGGAAGTGTTTTGTCTTGATTGTCGGAGCTTTCTTGAACGCACCACCAACCTTACAATCTCAAAGCTCCTCCAGTGTAAAGGTCTGTGTCCATGTGTAGTGTGATTATAGATCAGCTCTAGCTTCTATATTAATACTGTGAAAGTATCAAAGCCTCAGTCCACAGAGAAATGCACACAGCCTGTATTCAGAAACTGAGCCTTAAAACCAGCCGTCAGGACTTCTGGAACTTTGTGATGTCACAACGAAGGAGATGTAAAACTACACTGAGATGGTTTTTGGTTCTTAAAACCACAAATATATCTTCTTATGGATCAACACTTCAAAATAAAACACAGGAAGTGGGAAATATGGAGCTTTAACATCTTGACTTTAATTCTTATGGAGATTTAGTGTAACAGGAAACTTATTTTGAAAGTTTTCTTCTTCTCTGTCCACAGGTGAAACCATGCGGCTGGACAGCGCTCCGTAGCCTCCCCTGTCCCTCGCCTCCCACCTGATCACCTCATCTCCTCCTCCATCTCTCCTCTCCGCCTCCTCTCTCCCTCCGTCTCTCTCCTCCCGTTCGCCATGACGACCTCCCTGGAGACGCTGCTGTCCCAGTCCGACCAGGAGCTGAGCCCCGAGCGGCTGGACGGCTGCGAGGACTCGGTCGGCCGCTACAAGGTGGTTCCCTCCGTGGTGTGCTCCATGTGCTGCCTGTTCGGCATCATTTACTGCTTCTTCGGTGAGTCAGAAACTGAGTTAAAGAGGTTCCCTTTGCTCGTCGAGTTCCAGCTCTGTTGACGGTGTCGTGTTTCCTCGTCTTCTTTCAGGCTACCGCTGCTTCAAAGCGGTGATGTTCCTGACGGGCCTGATGTTCGGCTCCGTCGTCATCTTCATGCTCTGCTACAAGGAGCGCGTGCTGGACACCCAGCTGAGCGTGGAGGCCTCGGTGGGCATCGGCCTGGGCATCGGCACGCTCTGCGGCCTGGTCACCATGCTGGTTCGCAGCGTGGGCCTCTTTATGGTGGGCCTGCTGCTGGGCCTGCTGGTGGCCGTGGCCACCCTGGTGGGCATGGAGGAGCTTTCCGACAGCCCGCCGCGCTCCGTCTGGGTGCCCCTGGGCGTGCTGCTTGGCCTGGGCATGCTGTTCGCCGTGCTCACCCTGCAGTGGCAGCGGCTCTTCACCACGCTGTCCACGGCGGTGTTCGGCGCGGCCGTCATCACCGTGGCGTTGGACTACTTCGTGGAGCTCTTCGCCCTCGTGTTGTACATGTACGAACGGATGAAAGCGGCGCCCGGCAAGCCTGTGTGTTGGCTGACGTGGGTGGTGCTGGGGGTGTGGCCTGCCCTCACCCTGCTGGGTGTCATGGTGCAGTGGAAGGTGACCGCGGAGGGATACTCCCACACCAAGGGTGAGGAAAACCGGTGCTTCTCTGAAACTTTACACCAGCCGTATTATTATACTGTTTTAAAAGCATAAAGCTACGTGTGCACGGCATGATGGGAAATGGTTTTGTGATGAGTAATAAAAACCAGTTGCACCAAACACCCTTTAGTTTCTTCCTTAAGTTTCCCTCATGTTCACTGAAGTGTTTAAGGTTTTCTCCTTCTCTTAAGGAATCACAAAAATTCTTTGCTTTCTTTGCTTCCTGTCACCTGACTGTATCACATGATGTTTGAGCGTTTCCCCACCTGCTGCTGGAAAGTTTGGTTTGAGAAGATTGAGTGTTCACTGATCAGCTGTAGACAGGAAGTCAGGCATGAATCCAATCAGAGCTTCTGTGCCGCAGTGATCATCAGCCGGCAGCAGAGGAGGATGCAGGTGATGCGGATCCGTCAGCGAGACGACCGCTTCCGCAACAAGAAGAAGAAGAAGCAGCAGCATGGCTCCTCCTCCCACCATCACCACCAGGCCAAGCAGCTCCACACAGAGCCCGCCTACCGCCGCAAGCCCAACCCCATCCGCCGCTACGACACCGACGTCCTGTCACCGGTGAGGAACCTTAATGACGTAGTTTTCTTTGGGGTCGTTTTTATTCCTCCGAGCCGGCGGCCATATTGTTTTCAGGTCGTCTGTCTCATTCGATATCTCAGTAACGCCTTGACAGAACAAATTTGGCACAAACATTCAGTAGGAATCAAGGATGAACTGATTAGATTTTGGGGGTCAAAGGTCAAAGGTCAAGGTCACGGTGACCTCACAAAACACTTTTTAGCCAATACACAGCAATTATGAGTAAAAAGCGTGTCGGAGGCAGACGACCACGAGGAGGTGATTGTGGTTGGTTTCTGTGAGTCGAGTAGATTTAGAAGCTGATGAGGAGATGAATCAGTTTTACAGAGTTTTTACAGATGTATCAAACTGTCTCTCTTCCCAGAGCTACATCCAGAGTTTCAGAGACCGGCAGGTGCAGGCGCAGCCCTTCCCGGGGCGGCTGGTTGGAGGAGCCCACGCCGTGGTGGATGTTGGCTATGACTGCGGCTCCACGGCGCCCCTCGCTGGGGCAGCAGGACCTTCGCTGCGGGTCTGACCACCTCTCCTGAGCACACCACAAACCAGGGAGAGAAACATGACTCTACAATCACCACCCGGGCGGGGTGTCGCCACGCCTGTACGAGAACAAACCACCACTGGGGTTAAATGCAAAGATTCTAGGTTTAAATACAATCTGGGTTTAGCCTCCACCCCTAAGAGGATTAGAATGAATATGTTGAGGGCTGGATTTACCCACAATGCAACACGTTTAACCCTTTACTAATTCAGTTTTAGATCATGAGGCTCTGCTGTCCTGGTGGATGCCTGCTGGAGAGTCAGTGCGGTGCAGAGGTCTGTTCGACCTCTTTTCACTGTCTCTCCGTAGATTCAGATGCACACATGCATGCATGCACTTACACACACACACACACACACACACACACACACACACACACACACACACACACACACACACACACACACGTGGAAACCCGAAGCAGCACCGACCTGTCAGTCACCATCTCAAGCCAAAACCACATCAGGGATCGGAGCTTCAGACCCGCCTCAGGTTCAAACACAGGCATCGTACGGAAAATCAAAATACAACTTTGCCCTGGTTCAGCTGTTTCTACTGCTGACGCTGAAGAAACTAGATCCTCAGCCTCTTAACGACCCGACAGCGTTCGTCTAAAGGGAAGGAGAGGCCCTTCGATGCAAACTGGGATCCTTCATTCGCTCTCTGTGCCATCCGGACTACAACAATCCTCTTTACTGTTGTTTTTAAAGGGGGGAACCCTGGTCATCCTTGGTGCTGGACGATGCAGGACGTCTCTCTGAAGGCTGGGGAGTCTGTTTTAACGGGTGCCTTGCCCCTCCGTGGACTGTACCAACAGCATCAGGAGGGGGGTTACTGGCAGATCTCCCATCGATGGCTTGTTTTTGCATTAAGTGTGATCACTGGAAGATTTTTTAAAGGAGGGAGGGGGGTGGGGGGCTACAACAAGCAGGGTATAAAACACTGGCGTGTGGTTGGCTTGTTGTCTTCACAGATGCCTGGATATGTGAGGAGGATTTGCTGGCGAGTCATATTTACACTGGCACCTCATGAGAGTCGCCCGACACACATGGAGGAGGATTTTAGAGATAAAAACATATGTCTGAGATTATTTAACATTTGCACTGCAGTGCAGACTGTCGGCTCTCCAAGAGTAGGAGTTATATTTTTATTTATGTTGTTGCACTCTCTCCATCATCTGTGGTCAGCTCCGTTGATGAGGCAGGACGACACCTTCTTCCTGTTTTGTGCCATAAAATAATACAGAAACATTTTGGGAGGAAATTTGTGGATCAAAGTTTTAAAGTTTAAAGTTTAACTGAAATTAAAATCAGTACATATACAGTATCATAATGTTTTTTACCAAGAAGAAGAAATGTAAGATTTATTCATTGATCTACAGCGGTTTTCACAGTTGTACGGTATTTTGTTGTTTGCTGCCTTATTATTTTTAACTACAGGCACGCAATGAATCTTGGGATAGGTTGCCCTGGATTTCCCGCCACAATGTGACCATTTAAAAAAATAATAATAATAAATGAGTTTTAATTATAATTAAATGCGCCTCCTTGAACGCACCTTCAACAACAGAGGTGTCAGTGTAAATAGGTCTCAGAGGGTCTGAGTGAGGAGAGCGGACTCGTGGCCTCCTCCCATCATGTGCATTGATTTTCTTTATTCGGGGACACAGTGAAGATGTGAATGCTTTGTAAACATCTTTACCTTTCGTTTTTTTTATTAAAGGAAAAGCAGACAAGTGTGTGGGGGAGGGAGGGAGGGAGGGAGGGGGTTACGTTTTTATTCGTCCGCGGTGAACTGAAATGCATGATCGCACCCCTCCATCCCCCTCTGCTCCGCCCCGCGTGGCTTCGTTTTGCCTCCCACCTTCCACCTTCTCATGTGCATCGATGTGAAACTTGTACATAAAACACAGCACTTACTAACTTCTTCTTCTTCTTTTGTTATTTTTACATTTTCTCTTTTAATTTAAACCTTTTTCTTTTTCTTTTGTGCGACATGTTCTTTTCCTGTGGGATGTATTTATTTGCTGATTTATTTATTTCTGTAAAGGAGAGTGCAATGTCTTCACTGTAGGCCAGTAACTCCATGCTTTATTTAAACTGATTATGACTATGATTATTAAAGCATGTGTTCCTATGGGCCTGTAAACCACCAACGTGTCAGACTCGTCTTTTCACACAAGGACATGGACATCAATCAGCTGTAACATTAATCCACTTCACTTTTATTAGCGAATATTATCTGAAAGTCACACCCCCCCCTCTCCCTCTCTCTGTGCTTCCTTTCTACCTCGCACAACCTCTCCCTTTATCTCTCGCTTCATCTCCAGACGCCTTTTAATCTTCCTCCTCCATCTTCTCCTTTTTCTCCACATCCCCCTGTTGATGAGGACAAACACAGGCACATACAGTCCACCTCGTTCTCCAGCAGCTCCTGATTGGACAACAGTCACCCTGACCTTGAGGAAAAGCACGAGATGTGCCAAGAGAAGAATGTGTTTACTGCATTTCTGACACTTAAGTGATTTAAATAAAATGGTCATAAACTGAGAATTTAAAGCAGAGGATTTGCTCAGCTGCAGATTTCCTGTGACATTTAACTGAAATTGCAGAGTATGAAGTGAAAGGCAGCGTCAGAATGTGTTATTTAGAAATGCTTTTACCTCTTTCAGATGCACAAATTGAATATTTTGGCGATGCACTGCAAAAATCTCCATCGCATCACGTCTGTAATCAAGTCCTTTTCTTCACCAACTTTATACTCTCTTATTTTAAGGTAGAGACACTGAAATAATCTGATTTCTACTGAGAAGAATCTGTAGAAAAATCCATCATTTAATTACAGAACAGATGTGATAACATGGAGATTTTTTTGAAGTGCAGTAACATGTTTGTAAGCACAGATAAATAAACCCTGATAAAGTCACCTGCTGCTTTACATTCACATATTGCAGTAACTTTCAAACAAGAACAGTAAAGATGAGTTTGTAAAGTCTTTTTGCTGAGTTTTATTTGTGCATCTTTTTTTTTGTTGTTGTTGTTTGTCTGGTTTTGTTTGGGATGGTTCTCCTCTCTTCTTCTGCAGGTGATTACATGATGTCGTGCTGGTGCTGCGTCGACTCGCTGACGACCTGGAGGACGGAAACATGGCGGTCAAAGACAGAAACACATTAAAGACATGTGGGTGAGTGTGACACTGTGGACTGTTTTATATGGAGGTAAACCTGCCCAGGTTCCTTTGGCGGCTGCGTTTGAAGACTGATTGCGTCACAACGGCGCGACTAGACTGTCCCATTAAATGCGGCCTTCCTTACCTATCCCAAGATTCATTGCGCTAATGGTAATGGTAATGGTAATGGTAATGGTAATGGTAATGAAAGCCGACAGACAGCCTGAGGATTACCTTTTTAAATGTAAGTATTATGTTTCAGCTCAGTTCAGCAGCTAATGGCCGAACTGTTAAAACCACGCGCCTTAAAACCTCAAGATATTGTAAAAAAAATTACGTGTAGTCAAGGTTGCTAGGCGACAGTGTAACGGCAGGCTTTAGCTGGTGACGTACAGCATTGCGTTAAGATGTTAATTTCAAACGTCCTCTTTAATGTCCGTTTTTGTTTTTTGTTTTTTGCAGCAACGCTTTAGTTCAAGGTATTATGAGCTTTTATTTTGAAAGATTCTGAAAGGAAGTTCCACAGGTTACGTAGCTAGCTTGACAAACCTCTGACGAGGTGAATAAAATAACAGGTGTTCAGTAAATCAGTCGGTCAAACGCATAATATGTGACTCTGGGTTAACGAGCTCACGAACATCCGAGAGGAGCGTCAGAGACAGAAATATAGTTTATATATAGAAGATCTTTGGAAGCGTCAAGGCAGCGGAAAGATAGGAGTCACAACTTCCGGTTAGGACTTTCAGAATAAAATCAGAGCGGAAACAGAATGTAGATGATGAGAAAGCTCGTGGATTCTACCCAAAAAGATGATCATATGATCTTTGTACCACCTCTGTCTGTGACTGTGGGTTTAAATTAGCCTTTGATTATGTTCTGGCCGCCATCTAATGGAGTAGAAGAAAGTTAACCCATGGCCAAACTTACTTGCTGTTTTATTGTTTCAAATTCTTCCCCATTTTTGAGTATTTTCTGAATTTCATATTTAAAATTACTTTTTTTTTTTTTTTTTTTAAACCATAGAGCAGCAACCTCCCTCATACTTCCCTCTTTGAAGATAGAGGCCTTCATGTCTGGGACATTTTCAAAACAAGTTGATTTGATAATGATTTGATAAGCTGCAGGTTTTAATGTGTTGAAATACTTTCTTCTTTTCAAAGAGATAAAATCCCAGCATTCTGCACGTGGGCCGAGCCAAACTGTTGTTTTTTTATTGATAAAGCTGCAGCCCCAACTTGTTACAGCATGTTTTCCCAGAATGCTGTGCGTGGGAATGCTGTGCGGTGGGAATGCGGTGCGGTTTAGCTGAACCAGTTGTTGCATGTGTTGATGTGTTTACTTGGAAGAATCACAAATTCCTTCTGAATGAGATGAAAAAAAAAAAAGGCGCCACAATGTCGTGCAGCTGAATCCTCACAGATCATGATTTACTGATATTCTGCAGAGGTCAAAGGTCATAGATATAGCTTTATATATCTGAGCTGTTATCTCCCTCCACTTCAAAAAAATAGATTTAGATTGTGTTTTTCCTCAGTATGAGACTCTTTGTCTGTTCAGGGCAGAATAAACTAAAAGTGAACAGTGACCCAGTCTGAATATTGATCACTGCAGACATGAACCCATTAGTTTAGCATCAGAACTAATGGATTAAACAAATCAATATGTGAACAATCGAGTGCTTTAAAGTGTCGCTTGTCGACCCACAGTGGCAGTTTAATTTCACTAGATTATTAAAAGATGAGAATAACTTTTATTTTGAGACATTTTTCAAAATAAAACAAAGCCTCTGTAACAGTTTTGTAACAACAAATATTAAATATCAGATCCAGATTTCCTAAATGCGTGTGTGTGTGTGTGTGTTACCTCTCCGTCGCGGGTCTCGATGGTCTTGATGAGAACGGTTTTCTTTGAATGCATCTCAGAGGTTCGCTGCTGGTGTTCAGGGCTGGTCTCTGTTTCAACACAGACAGAAAACGTCAACATTAATATCATCATCAGCATCAACATGTTACACAACATTTTATATCATATTTAAACTTTTTACATTCTAATTAGCTGCTGTTAGTGTCTCACATTTTGCCTCTGATGCACTAATGTTGGTATAATGCCATGTATCATCTAAAACTCTATAAATCAGCTGTAAAAACATGTGAACTATCTTCTGGGTCACAGACTCAGGACCATGTGCTGGTTACAGAGGCGTGTGTCCTCTAGTGGTGTGTTCAGGTAACAGTAGATACGGTCGTACCTCGGAAGCTCATGGTGGAGTAGGTCTGCACAGGCAAGGCAATCCTGCAGGGACAGAACAAATTTAAATCAATGCTAAATTAACTCTTACACACCTTCTACAATCAAACCCTTTATACTTACACAAAATCCCACTTTTCTTTAAAAAAACAATTAAAACAGGAAATTAAAAATAAATCTAGTCTTCAATTTGAAATGAGTTCATCTATTTAGTTTCAGGAATTTTCCACAAACAAGTTATCACACATTATTAACTAATTTTAATTTATTAGAATTAATTTAATTATTAGAGGCCTTGACTTTAACGTTAATCTTTTAGGCTTTTTGTGCTGGTTAAATATAAAACAATCTGGTCCAGCGGTTTAATTTGAGTCACCTGCTCTCCTCTCCTTCCAGCAGCTTCCTGTAGGTGGCGATCTCCACATCCAGCGCCATCTTGACGTTGAGCAGGTCCTGGTATTCGCGGAGGTGGCGCGCCATCTCGTCCTTCATGTTGGCGATCTCCGCCTCCAGCCGGGCGATGTTGTCCTGGAAGCTGCCGGCCTCGCGTCCGTGACGCTCCTCCATGTCCCTCATCTGCCTCATCAGGGACTCGTTCTGGATTTGTTAAAGGGAAGAGGTGAGGTAGATTATAAAGCATATATGTGTGTGTGTGTGTGTGTGTGTGTGTGTGTGTGTGTGTGAGACGTACGGTGCCTTTGAGTGAGTCGATCTCGCAGGTGTAGGACTGGATCTGGTGTCTGAACTCCATGGTCTCCTGCCGGGCCTGCTTCAGTGCCTCGTTGTTCTTGCTCACCGCCTGGTTCAGGTCGGACACCTGCAGGGTCAAAGGTCAAAGTTCAGGTGTTTTGCTGCTGTTGTAATCACTGATAGGTCACCTTTAAATCTTGTTTCTGCTGACCTCTGGTGATGTACAGGTGTACTCCAGGACACTGTGACATCACTGTTGAGCAGCTTTGTGACGACAAAGTAATATTATTAATAATAATAATAATAATAATAATGATAAAACCGTCTCTCTCTCTCACCTTGGATTTGTACCAGTCCTCGGCCTCGGAGATGTTCTTGGCGGCGATGCCTTCGTACTGGGCTCTGATGTCCCTCAGCGCCGCCGTCAGGTCTGGCTTGGACATGTCCATCTGGATCTGGACCTGACTCTCCTGCATCTGGGTCTGCAGCTCACGGATCTCCTGCAAGAGGAGGAGGAGGAGGAGGGAGGTCAGGTCAGATGGGGGTTAAACCTGTGTGTGTACATGTCCAGGTGGGAATGGAAGTAGCAACCAATTACTAATAACTATGGCAACCATTAATAACACCCTAGGAGCCAGGTGCTAACATCCTAAAAAGCTAATTGCTAATCGTCTTGTGAGCATCGATGCTCCGCGTTTTATCAAATTAAATCCCAGGATACCTCGAATACTTCCTCTGTTTGTGCGGCGCTAAATGAGGCAGCTACTGTGTGATGCATTTAAGGACTACCTGAAAAAAACTCCACCACCTTGTACACTTGAAAACAAGCTAATTCAGTGCTAAATGAAACAGAAGCAAAGAGATCAGATCATCAGGTCCTCTGAGCAGCGCTACGTCTTCCCTTCACACGTGCACACTGGACGCTTCAACGACTCGCTATCGGACAGTGACACTGGAGCTAGCTGGTTAGCATGCTAACTTCACCGCAGGAGAAGAAGTCTGATGCTGAACTCACATCACTCTAACAGCTGCTATTGCTAACGTTAGCTATGTAGCAACAGCAAAAACTTTAATAAAGCTCCTTTAAATTTACTTTTAATCTACTTTATCTAGCTCTGCCTTTTTGATTTGATGTTGTCAGTCCAACATCTCGTGGTCGTGAGGCACTTGAGCTGCATCACTCAGCACTGGAGGTCGACCATCTGATATCAGCCTTCGAAAACACCAGTAATCACTCTGCTAATGCCACAGCAACCGCTTGGCTTTGGCGTCATGTAGCAATCACCAGTCAGGACACACACACACACACACACACACACACACACACACACACACACACACACACACACACACACACACACACACACACACACACACATATCTAAGCTTACAAGCCTCTGCTGTTCAGACACAGTTGACGTCCACTGCTGGTACACAGAGTAATTTTAGCCAGACATCTGCTGCAGCTCTGCTCAGGCCTGCTGCCAACACACACGCTGAAACTGTAGCTGTACTTCACCAAGCCTCTCATACACACACACACACACACACACACAGATGTAACAGCAGATGCTAACAGACAGACAGGTCACCTGCAGCACAGTCAGACAGGACACAGGTAGAACAGGCAGGTTAGTTACTGAGATTTGTTTTATCCCTCAATTTCATCAGTGAATAATCTAATTCCTTCCCTCAAATAATAATTTGGTCCCTTAATTTACCAAATACCTCCAACAAATGTTATTTGCACTTGCAAAGATCTGCTGCTTTAAGGTGCTGATGTCCTGTCAACAGAGCGCTGAAGTGTGACCAGAGAGACAGAAGAAGAAGAAGAAGAAGAAGAAGAAGGAGGAAAGTGTTCGTGGATCTTCTTCAGGAAGGCGATCTCCTCCTGCAGCGTCTCGATGCGTCTCTCCAGGTCCAGACGAGCCAGAGTGGCAGCGTCCACGTCCTGAGGAGGTTCGGTCAATCAGTCAATCAGACACATGGTTTTATTATTAGAAGTTGGCATCTTTAACTCAGTGTATGATAAAAAAATATTGATCAAATTTTACTTAAGTACGAGTTGTTAGTGGATGCATGAACCTAAAAGAAGGAGCTGGTATAAAGACTTCATATTAACAGAGCTGTTCTACTATATTTAAAGACAGTGTTTAACTTTCTCTAATTCTGAGAAAATGTAACATATATATATAAACTGTATATATATATATATATATATATATACTGTATATAAACTGTATATATATATATATATAAACAGTCATGTGATGTGCAGGACTCACCGCCCTGAAAGCAGCCAGGTTGTTCTCTGCTTCCTCTTTCTGGAGAATCTCGTCCTGGAGTCTGGAGGACGAGGGAGGAGCAGATAACGAGTTTCGATCATTAATCACTGACACTATATATATTATGGACCTGCAGCCACCAAAAGGTCGAAACGCTGAATCATTTATTTCTTTTTTGTGCCCTGAAAGAAGTGAAATCTAAACACACAGTTATTATAAGTTATTATAGAAAACACCCACCGTGTTTTAACTGTTTAATAAGATCCACCTACGCCGTTAAATCCAGCTCACTGTCGCTGTGATCTTAAGTTTACTAAAAGATTTTACCAGTCAAACATCTGAACAGAAACAGAACATTTATTGATGTGATTCCAGATGTTATTGTAATCCTCTTAAGCCGTGAACACACGCTTGTTTTATTTATGACGCCAGAAAAACATCTTTAAATCTTTAAATCAGAATGAACTGAGGAAACAAAGAGATTAATGAAAGAAATGGAAAATTCAGAGTCTGAATAAAACGACCTTTGGACAAAATCCTGACGGCAATAAAAGGAGATAAAACCTCAGATAAAAGCTCCATTTTTATTTCAGTCTGAGGGAGAACTGTGTAAATCCCTGTAAAAGAGCTTCCAGTGAATATTTCATATTGAATTTAAATGGCAGTGGCGCTGTCTTCTCCCTGAATCTCTATAAAAGTGGCACATGAGACGTAAACCACAGGGAGAAGGAGAAAGGACAGATCATCAGACATCCTTCTTTCCTCTCCTTTTATAGAAGAGGACGCTGTAAACATGGGGTGTGTGTGTGTGTGTGTGTGTGTGTGTGTGTGTGTGTGTGTGTGTGTGTGTGTGTGTGTGTGTGTGTGTGTGTGTGAGTGAGAGTGTGTGTTGAGCTCTAACTTTGGTCAGGGTCGTGCAGTAACACACACACACACACACACACACACATTAGTCATCATTCATATCAGCAGCAGACGAGTGTTTGGCTTTAGGTTCATCTGTATTTGGTCTTTGCTGTCTGACTCGTGTGTTGCTCAGAGGAACTTCAGCACGACCACGACGAGTAAAGAGATCAGAGATCAGAGATCAACGTGTGTCGGCTTCAAACATACACATCATATAAAATATTAATATGCTTCACTTTAGCTTTACTTTTCTTAATGAAAGAGCCACTACATTAATAATCACTGTTGAGTAATTGTCCCTCATTTTAATCAGTATTGAAAGAAGTATTCAGATTTATTACTTTATTATAAGTAGAAATTACATAAAAATAATGGAAAAATAGTCAATTATAAGTAAAAGTCCTTCAAAGATTGAAGTTTTATCAGTAAATGTACTTGGAACAAGTAGTAAAAAGTAAAAGTACTCAGTAAATATGCAGTGACTCCAATCAGAGAGGAATTATAAGATTATTTAGTGGTTATTAAGCATTAAAATGTTAATGAAGAGGCGGCACATTTACCTGCTTTATGCACTGTTGTTTAGTATTTTACAAAAGGACATTATTTATCTTGAAATGTAGAATAAAGTGTAAAACAATCAAATGGAAAGATCTCATTGTCGTGCAGGAATCTCCGAACTGGACAAAGTGCAGAACTTAAAAACACGATTTCACATTTCTGCCTCTCGGCGTCTCGCAATCAAAACAGTAACAAAAGAGTTTGGTGATGTCACGGAGGAGCGTGGCATCATGGGATTTACCCACAGATGAATTATCAGTGTTTCTCTGATGCTGTTCGACACAGGAAAAGTGTCAGATATGGAGCTTTAATGCAGAAAAATGTCATATTATGTCTTTCATGAATGTTCCTGTGTGCAGTATTCTACACAGGGTAATATTGATCATCTTAAATAACTCAAGTTGTTCTTTCCTCTTCTTCTGCTCTGGACAGAAATACGTTTCTGTAATGTTTGATTTGCTGTTTCTCAAATTGAAAGGTGACGCTGTAGTTTTCGCTGTGTCAGGTAATTCCTCTGCTTCTGCTTCTTAATCCCACACAGTCTCCCACCAGCTAAACCTCAGCTTGTTTAAATTCTCCTCCCACTGCGTCACTGAGTCATCCTCAGTCTTCTTTGTCTTTGGACGTAGAAATTCTTTTTATATCCTTTTCACAACTCAAAATTAGCACAGTGTGTTTAAAACCTCTGGATGTATGACGATATACAAATGTTAGGGTAAAATGTGTATATGTACATATATTACAAATATCTATCTGATGATTTTTTAATATCAAAAATGACATACGATTCAAATTTCTATATGATTATGAATGTGTTCTTATTAATTTCTCATTAGTTTAATTTTAATTTAATTTGTCTAATATATAATCATACATACATAAACTGAACATAAATGTCAATATAGGAGAATTACTCCAATTTCAAATAGGTTTTATATAATTATTACATATATGTGTTTATTTTATATGTACATATATTTCATGTATGGAAATTCAGTATATGTACATATATTACATTTGTCTATGGGTAAAGTTTGTGTTAGAGCTGCTTCAGGCATCATTGTTACATAAGCTTCAGCTTCCTACGTTACACTGTAAATAAAAACCCATCACTCACCAGGTTTAAAAATACTTTGTGTCACCACAACAAACAGCAGATACGGCTGGTTACACCCAGCAGACATGATAATACTCACACGTCTGTGTGTCATCACATGTGGCCGCTGTTTATTCACGCTCTGTCAGATCTGTTGTTGCTTTCATGTTGAACTGCCGCCAAAAATCAGCATTTTCATTTTTTAACCCTCTGAGGTCTGAGGGTATTTCCTCTATTTCCACATTATTTCTTAAATGAAAGGTTCTTGCATATAACATGATACTCAAGTGTTTATATCACACTTTCAGAACAATCTCAGATCTTTCTGAATGACAGTTTCTTTATTGTGCTTGACCAAAGTCTACAGGTTCATAAAATAGTGCAATATGTGAGTAAAATAGTAGATAAATGGATAATAAAATGAATTAATAAAATTCTGTAATATCGAAATGTTGTGTCAACCAAATTCTTTAGGCGTTTTAGCTCCGGCTGTGAATCATGTACGATCTCACGAGTCTGCAGATTCTAACAACATTTAAACCACATTTCTACGATGTATTATCACAAAGATATTAATAAAAACATCCGTCGACCTCAGAGCGTTAATCAAAACACACACACTCACACACACACACACACAAACTAGTAACATTGTAACCAGTTGACACACACTCACGCTTCTTCTTAAAGAGACACACACACCTCTTTCTAAACAGACACACACACTTCTTAAAGAGACACACACAGCTCCTCTTGCCCCTCCCACCTGATTTTGAGCTTGTCCAGGTCGTCTGCGAGGTTGTCCCGCTCCAGATCAATGCGCGACCTCTGATTGGTCAGGATCTCCACCTGCCTCCTCAGCTCGCTCATCTCCTCCTCGTACAGGTCGGCGATGCGCGTCGGCTCGCGTCCGCGCAGGCGCTCCACCTCCACCGTCAGCGCCTGGTTCTGCTGCTCCAGGAAGCGCACCTTCTCGATGTAGCTGGCGAAGCGGTCGTTCAGGTGCTGCAGCTCGACCTTCTCGTTGGTCCGCGTGGTCAGGAACTCCTGGTTGAGGGCGTCGGCCAGGCTGAAGTCCAGGGTCTCGCCCATGCCGGCGTAGGTGCGTGCGACGGAGGCCCTCGACGACGTTATCGGGCCCCCGTAGTAGCTGGAGGAGACCCGGTAAGCCGGGGTCGACTTGCGGGTCACCTCATAGACCCTGGAGCTGACATGGCCCCCGCTGCTGCCGCCGGCGCTGTGGCCCAGCAGCGAGCGGTTGAGGGTAGGCGAGGCGTAGGTACCGTGGCCGAAGGTGCGGCGGTAGGAGGAGGAGGAGCTGTAGGCGGCCATGTTGGAGGACACAGAGATCCTGGTGAGGGCTGCAGCAGAGAAGAGCACTGAAGAAAAACCTCCTGCCCCCGGCTATTTGTAGTTACCCCCCTCCCTCGCTTTCTACCCCCCTCCTCCCTGTGAACTACCCTCCCTGTGTCTCTCGCTCTCTCTCTCTTTCTTTCATCTTTCTTTTCCCTCTTTCTCCTCCTCTCTGTCACCTTCCCTCTCCTCCTCTTCTTCTTCTCCATCTACCCTTCATTCTTTCCTTCCATTTTCCCTTTCTGTTTTTTTTCCAAATTTTCATTCCCCCTCTTTTCTTTTCTCCCTCCATGTCTCTTTCTTTCTCTCTTCCTCTTCCCATTTCTTTCTTTGCCGCTTTCTGAACTTCTTTGGCATCAAATCGTTTTGTCCATTTACACCTTGGAAGTCGTTCCATGGAGTATCTGTGATGCTGAAACTTGAACTAAACAGCTCAAACGCGACGACACGTTTACGTTCAAATAGTAACTTTAATAAGGAAAAATCAGGAGAATCACATGTTAATGTCTGAAACTGCCTCACATTTTTCGGACGAGGTCTCCTCGTGGGAATGAAAAATAATAAATGAGAAAACTTTATTGCAGAATCGGAGAATTCTGCAAAAGTCTTGGTGACGTTCAGTGATGTTTTTAAAGATGGACGTAGCCTCCGTGACGTCACCCACAGTTTTCTGAAGAGTGGTTTTGGAGCTCAGAGTGAGCTGCTCCACTGTCGCCTTGTTGGCAGTGTCTGACTCCGCCCCCAAACTCCCAGCTAATCCAAAAATGGTCAAAGGGGCGGGGCGTGTGTGGAGCTGAGACTTCGGTGCATGCCGGCTTGTGGCAAGCATACGCTCACCCACCTGTCACTCAAAGAGGCCACGCCCTCAATTTAAGCCTTAATAAAATGTAAACAGGTGAGTTAAATAAATCCCCCCCCCCCTCCCCCGGACAGTTGTCATGAAGGAAGAAATTAGCTGTAGACACCAATCTACCAATCTTAACATGGGAGTCTATGGGGATTGACTCACTGTTGGAGCCAGACTCTAGTGGTCATTAGAGGAACTGCAGGTTTTCGGACTTCAGTGTTGCCGCCTGATTTTAACACAGTCATAATGGCGGTCTGAACTCGACCTTGTGTGGAGGTCACTGTTGATTTCTGTTTCCTGTTGACAGTCAGACTTTTTTTGAACCACGTCCACAGTTGTTTCCGAAACGTATCAACCACTAAACTTAACCATAGAGGCTCATGTGGCTCGTCTTCGAAGGCGATGACGATCACGTCTCTGTGATCTCATTACATAACAATGCGAAGATACGAGGACGGTGGCTTTCAGAACTCTGCGTCGTCCTCACATGGTGAGGCGGTGGCAGGTTGTTAATGACAGCAGCCGGAGGGGGAAGAGCTCTGACTAACCTGCCTTAAAAAGGAAAACTATCCCATCCTGCGAGACTGAGAGGGACAGCATGTGCCTGCAGGAGAAAGCCCACATTCCCAAACAATATGTGCCATTAATGATGATATCACCTCGGTGTGTGACAGTGAAGTGGATTTAGAGGGAGGGTTTCCCTCTGCCAGCTGACATCTGGACTCATACATGCTCTGAGTCAACACAGACTGTGGTGAAAATATGTTTAAAAGGGGAAAACACTAACAGCAGTTTAAAACACAGACTGGTGAGATCATTTTAAACTCATTTTATTAAAAACTTTGTACTGAGAGGATTAAAAAAACAGCTGCTAATGTATCTAATCTTTATACAAAAAAGATTCTCTCATTAAAACATACACAAGAAAATAAGGGAAGATTTAATCTGTTCAAAATGTGGATTTCAGTTGATCTCGATTCTAAAATCACAAACATGAGTTTACCCAGAAAGGTGGAGGTGGAGGTGGAGTCCATATTGTGCTGCGTCACAACCTTTTTATTAAGTGCATTATTGCATTTGACTTATTTTTGATAAAATGAGTATTTTAATCTCCTTATTCTGCAGCTCTTCATTGTGTTGCGTTCACTGTCACGTGTCCTTTAAACGGCCCATTCGCCCAAAATTGGTACCTTTTCATCCAGGTAGTTTTGGGACAGTGGAGTTGACTTGAATTTAGTTTGTGGTGCTGAAAACATTGATTGTTTAAATATTGATCATCTATTATCTATAGAAACATTTCTGTTAACCTGTCTGCAGAAAAAAATAGTCCCTTTACTCTGTTGGACCACAGTCCTGATCATGAGCCACCGCTGTAATTACAGAGCAGACACTGGTTTCTGTTCCCATATGATCCCAGTATGTCCAACACTCCCACTGCTGCTCCTCCGCTGCAGCCTGTTGCTCTCATGTCTATTAATAGAGTGTGTGTGTGTGTGTGTGTGTGTGTGTGTGTGTGTGTGTGCTCTCATCCTCCTGGGCTTCCTCAAGAGCAGGGGAGACGATGCGAGCTGACAGCTGAAGCAAACATCTCTTCATTGTCTTCTGACTCCCCTCCTCTTTCTCCCTCCTCCTCTCTGTCTCCCCCTGCTTCATCCTCCCTCCCCCTCCTCCTCCTCCTCCTCCTCCTCCTCCCTCGGTGTTTAGGACTATATAAGGCTGGTGGAGTGATACAGTGATAAATGGCTGTAAACTAACATGAGTGAGTCAGGAAGTGACAGCGAGGTCTTTAAATAAAACCAAAGCATTGATTCATTAATTGATTCCAAACAATTTTACACTCTGGCTGCGTTACTGATCATTTGTCCTTATTGGGATTAGAAGAATCTCAACATTGTCTGCCATTAGATTCTGGGTTGTTTTTTTTAAATGCAAACAGTCCACATAAGGAACATTTGAAGCGTTTAGTTGTTGCTCTCCACAGTGATTTATAGTGATAGTGGTGGATGTGTGGCGTCCAACACAAACATAGAAGTTCCATATAAAAGAATTCAGCCCAAATATTTCCACTGTTATAATTAAAATGCCCAGTATTTAGTTGCTGAAACAAATGTTTGTCTCCAACCTGATAGAAGTCGGACAGTGATGGAGCTATGACCAAGACTTTCCTATTCATCATTTCACAGATTTCTGCAGTTATTTGTTACTAAGAGAGTTTTTCATGTAAGAAAGAGAAAGAAAGGATATGAAAAGACAATACTCCTGTGCACACCTGGTTCTCATGGTTTTCTTGTTTTATCTTTTTTAATGTGCTTGTTTTATGTTTTATCATTCAGGAATAGCGTGTACTCTGAGTGCACATGGAGATTGTGTACTTACAGTATATTGTGTGTACTTTGTGTGCAGCTGTGTGCAGCACTTGTGCAATTTGGAGCATTAAAGGATCTCTTATCTCTGTACTGGTCTCTCTCCACTGGTTTCCAGTGAGGTACTGAATTGATTTTAAGCATGTACTGGCACCAGGTTACATCTCTGAACTGCTCCTCCCCTGTTCCACCTGCAGACCCCTCAGAACTGCTGACCAATCACAGCTCTCCATTCCACACACCCAGGTGAGCGAACTCTTTCCATCGGCGGCCCTTAATTGTGGGTCAATATTAAATCTTAGATCTTAGACAACCTGTCTAAAAGCCCCATCTCCTTTCCTTAGCTTCATGTTTGATGTTTGTGTTATGATTTTACTCAGATATTAAACACTTTTATTCATTTAGTTACATCCTCTTCTATCTGCATTTACATATAGTCATTCATGAGTTTTTTATTGATTGTAATCAATTAAATGATCCCAGCATTTAATCTCTCTGTTAATCAACAGTGAACGTTTGTTGTTTTTAAATGTGCTTTAAATATTAATTGACTTATCTTGGATTCAGGAAAATGTGTATCATAATCGTGGCTATGACACATGTGAAATACAATGACCCTGAAATAGATAAACAACTGAGATTAAAGTTGAAAACAGGCAGTGAAACATGAGAGCGCTGTAATTCACCGCCTGGCCGCTGGGCGTCAGTGTGGCGCTGCGTCTGAAAACAGTCGCTTCACCTCTTTCTGCTGCTGTCAGCTCATCTGTATCCGTTTGTCTTTCCCGTTGATCTGCGGCGGAGTTCAGACTTTGAAAGTCCAATTAATGCAGGTAAGTGCCATTAAAAAAAAACTGTTTTTTATTGTCGCTGCGGTATGTGGAGGTGTTGCTCCCTCACTGAAAGCTGCGTTGACTTCGGCCACTACTGGAAGAGGAGCGAAGAAGAAGAGGCACGAAAACTCGAGTTATCCTGTGCAGGTTAGCTGGTGAAGCTAACGATCGATGCATCACTTATCGGACAAGTGTGGTGCTTAGACGGCTAATTAGTCTTTGAATCGAAGTCGATTAGTAAAGTATTTGTCATTTCATAATTATTTAAATATAATTAACCAGTGGTGTTTCGGTATTTATGTCTGGTTAATCGGAAAGTAACAGCGAAGTCTCAAAACTTTAAACCAGTGTCCGAAGTTGGAACTAGTTGCCAGTAGCTGTTAGCTGCTAGCTTTGCTGTCTCATTCCTTGTGATTATTATCTCACTTTTGTCCTTTTTTTTGACTGTTTTCTCTCAGTTTTTGATCATGAAGAGCACCAAAGAGGCCGTGCAGTCCGCTGCCAAAGAGTTCCTGCAGTTTGTCAACAGAGGGGTGTCTCCGTATCACGGTACAGTCTGAAAAACTATGATTTTATCTTTTAATTCTCCAGATTTTTTTCCAAAATTTCTTTAAAAATTGAAGAAAAAAAAACTTTACTTTCCTCATACAATGACCATTGAAGGTATGTACTTCAAAGATGCATTTAAATATTTAAATTACATTTTCCAATACAAAATCCTCCATTACCGTATGTGATTTAATATTCTAGTATTGATTTATATTATGATAAAATAAACTGTCTGGACACCACAATAATACACCCATATATATTAGATGAAGAGATCCCTCGGTGTAAACAGTAGTCTTTATTGAACACACCCACAAAAAGTAAGTGAACCCAGAGATTTAATAACTGGTGGAACCTGAAAGCAGCTCCAGAAGCTGCTGTTCAGACCTGCACAGTGTCAGAAGGTGATTTTATTTGTCTGTAGTAGATTTACTTTGATGTTCAGGGTCAGCGGGACAACGACCCTGAAATTATCCCGGAAGAGACTTTGATAAACCTGGGAATTCATTTTCCCCTCGATGATGCCGAGCTTTCCTGTTTTCATGTTGCAGAGCCCTTTTTCCACCACACATAGAGCTGCATGTGTTGTTCTGGAGGGCGGCATCTTCCTCTGTGGTGTCCATTGCAGGAGGTGTTTTTATAAGTCAAAGTTTCTCTAACCCACTCCTCCAACCTGGTTTCATGGACTGGACTCCAGAGTTGATAACTGATTAGCTTCTGTTGGTGTCATCAGTCGAAGGGTTCACTGACTTTTTCCAGCTGCACTGTGAATGTTTGAACAGGAACAACATCGTGATTTGTGTGTTATAAGTTCAAATAGATTGTGTCTCTTCATTATTGTAACTTGGATGAAGATCTGATCCGACAAATTTAAACAGAAATGGAGGAAATTCTACAGATTCACTTACTTTTCCTGTAAATGCTCTTTATGACTTTCCACCCCTGAATCTGACACATCTTTAGTTCTTGTCCTAATTGTCAACTTTTGTCCATTTTTAAACCTTCATGTTTAATGTTTTAGCAAAACCTTTGTGGATTTATTCACATTTCATTTATAATTTATAGTATTTGAGATTGACAGTTCAGATTAGTTGTATTTGATATGAAAGACTTGGCAGCTGTTTGGAGTTTGATATGAAGTTCTCTCTCCTATAATGTGAAAACAAAGAGATGTGCATGTGTCAGCGGTAAACAGGTTCCACGCCGAGACGCCGCTCGGCTCAACAGACGACTTTGAGCTCGAGATAAGAGAGTTTCTGCAGATGAAACTGATATTTCATAATGTCTCTCACCTTCGCACTCTGATCTCTGGCATCTGCCTCCAACAAATAAAGATCATAAAAGCAATAAAAATTAACTTTACTTGGATTTAATATTAACTGCATTCCTGCCGGTTTCTTGATGTACGGAAATAAAGTTTTGAAAAGCCCATGTTGGAGGAAGAAATGCACAAGCTGATTAAGGACTAAGACAAAAGCAGCTTCCAAAATAGGACAATCAAAAATATATTTTAATATAATATATTTTAGTGCTTTCCTACTAAGTTGGACATTATTCTTTGCAGCTCCAGTAAAGTGTGACTCAAGGAGGAAGAGCTTCATTTAATGACCATGTTGGAAGCAAATGAAACAGTCATGATTATTTTACTCATCGATATAATAATCTCCGAGTGAGAAAACCCTGATTTAATCTTCTCAAACAAAGACTCCACACTTTCAGTGTCGGGACGGAAAAACTGAAAAGTCCATCCATCTATTTTCTTCCGTTAATCCGGGGTGGCGTCGCGCTGGCGGCAGGTTAACCATGGCGTTCCAGACGTCCCTCTCTCCACCAACATTTCCCAGCTCCTCCCGGGGGATCCCGAGGCGTTCCCAGACCAGATGGGATATGTTATCCCTCCGGCGAGTCCTGGGTCTCCCCCGGGGGGGTCTCCTCCCAGTCGGACCTGCCCGGAAAACCTCCGAAGGAAGGCGCCCAGGAGGCGATCAGATGCTCGCAGGAGCTCCGAGCTCAGCGAACAGAAACATCGTCATCTCTCCCTCTTCTTCTCCCTGCAGTGGTGGAAGAATGCAAGCGGCGGCTGCTGGAGGCGGGATTCATCGAGCTGAAGGAGGCGGAGCAGTGGGACATCAAGCCGGCCAGCAAGGTGAGTCCAGTCATCTTTAGAGAGTGGAATAAACGTTTGTTTATGTGACATATTTGAAACGAATAAACTGAACTAGAATCTTTATTTTAGACAGTTTAAAGTTCAGAATGAGTCTCAGCTCTTCATCGTCTCTCCTCTCTGCAGTACTTTGTGACCAGGAACTTCTCCAGCCTCATCGCCTTCGCTGTGGGCGGACGCTACCTGCCAGGAAACGGCTTCTCCATGATCGGAGCCCACACAGACAGCCCCTGCCTCAGGGTGAGAGCCCGTCCACCTCCCCTCACCTCCCCAGAGAGCAAGTCAGAATAGTCGCGGTGTGAAACAGCAGCAGGTCGGATCACAGGAAGAGAAGCAGCTGAGAGAAGAGGAGACGGAGTAAAGTGGTTTTTAATGTTGTTGTTCAGACGTGAGTTTCTCCCTCTGGAAACTGATCCGAGGCGTCTGCTGTTACAGACGCAGGAAAATAAAAGCACATCACGTTTATGAGTCAAATTATACAGCTGATATAATTCTTCTTCTTCTGTTTCTAGTTTTAGTCTTTTCTTTATTCTGTAAGTTTTTACTTCTCACCACCGATAAAGTCTTTAACCCTTTATCCTGCAGGTCCCAGGTTTACAGATCCTTTCATAGGAAGTGATTGGTTCTGATAATAAGAGCAGCATTAAAAACTGGCATTTATTACCTCATAAAATTAAAGATATTAAGTTCCTAATAATAAATAAATCATGGATGACTCTTAACTATTGTTGTTTTCCATCGCTAACTGCTCTTTCCAGGAAGCTACATGAATTCTTCTTCTTCAGTGTTTGACTGTAGCTGATCATGTTTCAATGGGCGGACATGTTGAACCGAAGCGGTGAGTCTGTCACAGGAAGCTGCTGGTTGATCAGAGGGTGAATGTCGTGTGTTTCAGGTGAAGCCGAGGTCTAAGAGGACGAAGCAGGGCTGTCTGCAGGTGGGGGTGGAGTGCTACGGCGGCGGCATCTGGAACACCTGGTTCGACCGTGACCTGACCATCGCCGGCCGTGTCATGGTCAAGGTACCAGGATTATTAATATTATTAATAATGTCAGGAGCACAATGCAGAGAAATGCTTGAGTGATAAAAGCAGGTGTGTTCCTCCTCCTCTTCCTCCTCCTCCTCCTCCTCTTCCTCCTCCTCCTCCTCTTCCTCCTCCTCCTCCTCCTCCTCAGAGTGGCGGCAGGCTGCTCCACCGTCTGGTTCACGTCCCCAGGCCTCTGCTCAGGATCCCTCACCTGGCCATCCACCTGCAGCGGGACATCAACGACTCCTTCGGCCCCAACAAGGAGAACCACCTGTCAGTAACAGCAGCGCCGCTTATTACAGATCGTTGAGCTGAACACTGAACATGACGGCCAATTACAAAATCAATAATCAAAGATTCCGTTTTTTCCTCCATAATATGAAGTAAACGAGAGAGAACAGCAGAGGACCTGGTTATAATGAGACGATGCAGGAAGTTTGATGTTTGTTGTTTTACTCACTTTAAATACGTTTTCTTACAAACTGGGTTTTATTTTTGTCCGGTGGAGTTTTGTCTTCGTCGGTATTTTGTTCACGCGTTCCTGTGTTTCTGCCTCAGGGTTCCCGTCATCGCCACGGTCGTCCAGGAGGAGCTGGAGACGGGCTGTGCGTCCTCTGGAGACGCCGCCGCCGCCGCCGCCAACACGGTAAAAGCAACGCTCGCACACAACAACAACGCTCCGAGGAGAGCTTCAACACTTAGTTTGTTTTAGTTGCTGCTTTATTTTCTATCAGCTGATATTTTAAAGTGAGATGTGACGCGTCGCACCGTCGTCCCTCCTCAGGCGGAGAAGCACCACCCGGCGCTGGTGAAGGTGCTGTGTTCGGAGCTGGGCGTGGAGCCGGAGGCGCTGCTGGACTTTGAGCTCTGCCTGACCGACACTCAGCCCGCGGTGAGTCGACCACTGACCGCCACCTGCCATCATCCACTGACGCGTTCAAGCAGCTGAACGGTTTTTAAAACATGATCATGATCATTGATCAGCAGAAAGAGAAAGTAACCCCCCCCCCCCCCCCTGTGCAGGCTTTGGGAGGTGTGTATGAGGAGTTCATCTACTCTCCTCGTCTGGACAACCTTCACAGCTGCTACTGCGCCCTGCAGGTCACATCACTTTTTATTTTCTCTTTCTCTTTATGTTTTTACTATCAGAGCTTTGTTTCCCTCTGTCTCTTCTTCTTCTTCTTCTTCTCGCTCTTCAGTCGGTTTTATTTATTTTCTTTGAACTGATCTCGGTGTTGCAGTTACTCTTCAGCAGGAAGTCTCACAGTGAAACGCTTGATTAACGAACTGCCACTTCCTGTCCGTGTCTCAGGGCCTGATGGCGTCCTGCTCCGGAGACTCTCTGACCAAAGATCCCAACGTCCGCATGATCACTCTGTACGACAACGAAGAGGTGAGTCCAGACCGCAGCCTCAGGCTCAGGCGTGCTGCGTTCAGTGTCTCCCAAACAGCTGCCGGTTTTGCTTCGTTACCGGTCGAGTCACCTGAACGCATCATTAGCCGCCTGCGTGTCCCTCCCGGCCGGGAGGTTTCAGGAGGGAGTTCAGACCCAGAAGAATAAAAATGAATTAAAGTGTTGAACTAATGAAGATTTGCTGCGTCTCTTTTGGATTTTTCTCTTTAATGAGTGATGGTGTGTGTGTCGTGTGTGTGTCGTGTGTGTGTCCTGTAGGTGGGGTCAGAGAGCGCTCAGGGTGCTCAGTCCAACCTGACGGAGCTCATCCTCACCCGCCTCTCCGCCTCCGCCTCCAACCTCACCGCCTTCCAGCAGGCGGCGCCGCTCTCCTTCATGATCAGCGCTGACATGGCGCACGCCGTTCACCCCAACTACCAGTCAGTAACGACAGCACAACACACAACGCTGCGCTTTGTTGATCAGATTGTCATTTCTGATTTGATGATTTCTCCTCAGGGAGAAGCACGAAGAAAACCACCGACCGGCTTTCCACAAGGTGATCAGATTGATTATTGATTATAAATCTACCTCCCGATCACGTGATATCAAACCCCGTCCACAACTCACACTCGTGTTTCTGGATGTAACTTTTCTCTCAGGGCCCAGTGATCAAGTTCAACAGCAACCAGCGCTACGCCACCACGGCCGTCACCGCCTCCATCGTCAGGGAGGTCGCCAGCCAGGTTGGCGTGCCCCTGCAGGTAGAGTGTGTGTGTGTGTGTGTGTGTGTGTGTGTGTGTGTGATTATAGATGAACTGTTTGCAGACGGAGGCTCAGTAGCTTTTCATCTCTTTGTGCGTCTTGAGTCGCTCGGCAGCGAGCGCAGATCTCCTAGCAACGTGCCGGACGAGCTGCAGAACAACAGAGAGGAGAAGAAGAAGAAGAAGAGAGAGTGTGAAGAAGAGACTATAAGAGATGATGAACATTCATTAGAAGAAAACAAAGTGATGCTGAAAGACCAGGAACATGTTTTTATTTCCAGGGCTGCAGATCCTGTTATCAAAGAACGTCTAAATTCAAACAAAGAAAACAGAGATTTCACTGAAAATGGAAATCAAGTTAGTTTTTTATTCCATTCTAATGAAAAGAGAAAAACGGAGAGAGATGGAAGACTGACAAAGAATGAGCTCAGAGATGGAGATAAGAAGGTAACGACGGGGGAAAGGTTGCGTCCGTTGCCTGGAGTGATGAGGTTTAATGACCTGAGCTGATAGACGAGTTACTGTAACTCATAAAAATCATCTTTTCCAGCGAGGCAGGAAGAACTGGACGTTTGTAGTTGATCTATTTGTCTTTCCAAATCCTGCGACCCCTGAGTCAGATCTGTGCGATGCCTTCAAGTCCTTCTGGGAAATTCCCTCTCATAGATCAGCAGCGCATCATGTTGTGTTCAAGAGGTTTTGGTGTCAAACATTTTAACAACAGAGAAGCTGAAATTTAAAAATGAAACCTGTGAAATTGAAGTTTACCTGCTGAATCAGAAGAATCGCATCAAAAACCTCGTCAGCATAAAAATCATTTTAATTATTTCAAATAATACTGAATTCATTAAGAGTTGTGAGTTTGACGTCCTCGTAGTCAGAACTGAAATGTGTCCGGTGGGTAAATGTGTGTTTCCTGTGCCGGGGATGGCGGCCATCTTGGAGAGAAACGGACCCTTGTTTCCACATTTAAATATTACTGCAGTTATCTATGTGGCAGAGTGAGTGAGTGACCTCTGACCCCTCCCCCTCCGCAGGATGTGATGGTCCGTAACGACAGCCCGTGTGGAACCACCATCGGACCCATCCTGGCCGCCCGCCTCGGCGTCCCCGTGGTGGACATCGGCGCTCCGCAGCTGTCCATGCACTCCATCAGGGAGATGTGCTGCACCTCCAGCGTCCTGCAGAGCACCACCCTCTTCAAGGTAAACAAACAAACGCACCTTTTGTCCCAGCGGTGCAGCGGAGGGATGTTTGTTTTGTTACTTCAGTACGAGCAGCAGCGTCGTGTTACAGAGTCGAGTCGTGCAGCACAAAAGAAACAGACTCACACAGAGAGAAGTCGTTCTCACATTAGATTTGAGTGAGCAGGGTCGACGAGAAGGGAGGGAGGAGCTTCACAAAGTCAGTTTCCTGCAGATGAAAGCAACACACAAACACCAACAACACGTCTGATTCTTGCTCCTCTGGTTCCAGCTTCGCTACCGGAGGATTTGTCTGTTTTATATCCGTGTAAACTGAATATATTTGGTGTCGTTTTGATTTAATAGATGATAAAAATAAAGCTCTTAAAGGCGTCATCCACCGGTGCAGCGGCTCCTGGCACCTAAACATGGATGTAAATGTTTCCTGAAGGAAAAACCCTCAGGATTAGAAACTCTGAACAAACACAAGAAGAAGAAGCAGCAGCAGCTTTAAGTTGAAAATGTCAGAGAGATCGATCGTCCAGCTGCCGCGTAAAACTTGATTTATTTTTCTCACCTCTGGTTTTTCCCGACGTGTTTTCTGCAGGTGATTTTTCTCGGGGCTCCCGTCAGACGAGGTCTTTGTTTTTAATGACGTAGAATCGACAACACATATAAAACTCTGTGCGACACGTTAGATTCGTGCCTTTGGTTTGAAACTCTTCAATTCAATCGTCCTCATCAAATAAATAAACTAAATCTTTGTGTTTCCTTTGACTTCGCTGCAGATGTTTGACATTTATCTTGACTTTAATTGTTTTAAATCACGCCCCCACTTCCTGTCTGCTTCCTCCTGCAGGGTTTCTTCCAGTTGTTCCCCGCAGTGAGGAGCACCCTGGTCGTGGATTAGCGCCGGCGAGGATCACACCTCATTCTCAACATCAGAACACGCTGGGAGTGTTGACGTGGAGAACTGTGCTGTGGACCTTCATATTAATCACATACAAAGACACACAAGCACTTCCTGATCTTTAACCACCGTGAAATGAAATTGTTTTAGAAAATATTAAAATGCTGAACAGTCTTTTTCTTGAGTCGTCTCCTCTTCTCGTGTCTCGGCGACAAACGCAGGTGAAGGTGAGTGCGGGAGGTTTCATCCTGCGGCTCGGGTTTCATTTCACCTCCTCACTTTTAATAAAACGCTGATGTGCTGCTCTGCCAAGAGTCTGAGCAGGAGGAGATGAGATGGACTTCAGATCCGTGAGAGCCACGTCATGATGCAGAGAGGGAAGAGGATGAAAACACCCCCACACTGTAAAAAATGCCTGTTTCACAGTCTTTAGCTTTTATTATCAGATTTATCACTGTGTTTATCTTCTATTGGATCTTTATTTAATAAACAGGCTCATCAGGATTAAAATCTCTTTTCCAAGAGAGACCTGAGAACAAGAAGCTGTCACAACAAAGACGACAGAGCTGCACGACACAAGAAACTCAGACACAAAGAATCAGCAGAAACATTTCCAACAGTTATCCACCGCTTCATCGTGCTGCCACGTCTTCATCAGACAAACAGCCTGAAAAACACTGACGATGACCTGCAGAGAATGAAACATGTCGGCTGGTGTTGAGACTCTGGATGTGAGTGTTTCAGGGCTGGATACAAATGATGCAGAAAATCAATTTAGAGATTTAACTAAGAATTAAAGTCCATGATAAACCTGAGTGGTTGAGATGTTTCTCGCCTCATGGTGACAAAGTGAAAGAAAAAACTGAAATATCACATTGACATAAGTATTCAGACACTTCCTCCAGTTCTCTTGGGATGTTCCTGCACCTTGATTAGAGTTCACCTGGTGATGAGCTTCACAGCTGACAGGACTCAGGTCTGATCAGGTCTGATCAGGTCTGACCAGCTCCAGCTCCGGGAAGAGTCCTGGTTCTTCCAATCTTCTTCTATTTAGGAAAGATGGAGGCCACTGAGCTCTGGGGTTTTTCTCTGATAAACACTGTCAGGTGTCATTATGCAAAAACTAATCCCTGCACAGCGACCTGTGACTGTTGGGGGGGGGGGGACTCTGTCTGGTTGGTAATCCAGCCTAGGAGGAAATCCTGGATACTGCTGGGCAGTGTGGATCTAGAAGGTATTTATGTTGTTGTAGTTTAAGTCGTTAACAAGCTGTTTTTTATTTGCTCAGTTCATTTCTTGCAGTGTGGCGCCTCCTCTTGCCCGCCTTTCCGACCAACCTCTCTCTCTCCCTCTCTCTCTCCCTCTCTCTCTCTTGTAGTTGCACGCACACACACACAAACACGCACACACTTTCTCTCCATCAGTCCTGAGCAGCAGCAGCAGCAGCAGCAGCAGCCTCTCCTCAGACATGGAGAGCTGGTAAAGGTGCAGCAGCAGCGGCGGCTCCCCCCTCCTCTCCTCCGGTGGATGTTGGATGTACCATGAGGTCTCCGCGGCTCTGGGCGGCTCTGTGCCTCCTCCTCACCGCCTCCTGCCGGCTCTGCGCGGCCGCCCGACACGGTAAGAGTCCGCGGATCGGGTCTGATCCGGCGCTGATGGAGACGGATGCACTTGTGTTTTTTAATGAACTCGGTGCTTCAGGCGGGAGGCGGCGCGTAAATCACGACTTCCCCGATGAAAGGTCCGTGTTGCAGTGTTCCTATAGTAACTGTTGTACTCAGCAGCCAGTTTGGAGCGAGCTCACAGCACTTCATGGCTCAGTTTGTCTCTTATTTCCAACATTCATCCAGGGTGTTATAAAATATACAGGTTTTCCTGTGGAGTTTGGCTGTAGTTTCATCCTTAAAATAAAGGAGGAAATCATTCAGCTGTAACATTCATATAATAAACCAATAATCAGGTTTATTCTGCTGTGAAAACTGATCAGTTTTGCTTTCTGTGGAGCCAATAGATGTGCTGTAGATCAATGAGATCAATGCAATTCATCTTACAGCCACCTTTGCTTTTCCTGCCCCTGATCTGTTTACACTGACGCAAATACTCTGAGCAGGATGTGTCTGACTGCATGAGTCAATCACTCTGTTCAGTCTGCAACGACAACAACACACACACAACCACAGCGGGGGGGTTGTAGTTGACTCTTCATCTGTGTCTGTATCCAGGAGAAAGTAGAAATCTTCTCCCTCTAAATCTACAGCAACATTCCTCATAATAATATTTTCTTGATTCCATTTGAGGTGAATAGATTATAGATTATAGATTATAGATTGTAGATTGTAGATTATAGAATAATGTTCCATGAAGCAGAAACACCAATCTTCCTACATTATAGGCCTCATAATGTCAGTAAAATAATAATAATAATAAGACTGTATATCTATATCACATAACATCGTTTAATTTGTTTTAAGAAAGAAAATAACTTTATAAATGTTAAAGATGACAATGAAAAGGATGGAGGGATATTGTGTAAATTGTGATGATTATTGGGGAGATAAAATCACATTTAGCTCTTTTAATGTAACGTCATATTAACATCCAGAAGTAATTCATTATAGATTCATGATTATGTTACAGGAATATTCAGTTAAAGTAGAACTGCAATGAAACATTACCATTACAAGGTCTATTGAGTAGCTGTCCTGGAGCTTTCAGTCATATCAGACAGTCTTCTGGGCCTTTGCCTGCGAGGTCCATGCAGCGATCTGCCTGTGGTTTTAGGACCAGTATAGTTTCACTGCTGGTCCCACAGCGACGCCAGATTATAGAGACGTGATAGAACATTACTGAGACATTAAGTCTGTAATTGACTCATAAGCTGTAAGATCTCAACATCCTGAGAGGAAGACTTTCAGTAAGATGAAAAGTTACACAGCGATCTCCCTAAAAAGATGTTTCAACTGTCTGTTCAGCTGCTGGTATTTCCAGCTGAAAATAAAATGAAAATGTCAGTAAATGACAATAAAGTCTTAAAACATATATATAATCTTTTAGCCACAGTTTCAACCCTCTCTAAAGCTCCATGACACCAGCGTATGGTGTTTAATTAGTCTCTTTAATAAGAGTGGCTAAAAGATTATTCAGATTTATTTAGATTTAGATTGTCTGAAATGAAACGCCACACCTGTGCTGCACTCACACAGGTAGACTGTCCGAGTGAAAACCCCCGGAGGAACATTAAAGCAGCATCATGACTCATAACTGACCTCTCGGCTCACAGTAATTACAATGGTTTCCTGTTTCCTTGATGCACTTAACGCAGTACAGTGTTTCAGCACCGCGGAGAGCGACCAGAGTGTTTCAGCACCGCGGAGAGCGACGACTAAATCCTCTTCATCCACCAGTTGCTTCCAGCTGCTTTTTTTAATCTGAAAACATGATTCAATTACATCCCTCATGGATTCATACAGAGATTTTATTATTTACTCAGTGAAATTATAATATTTAATGTTATTTTAATACACGGAGAGACTCTGGATGTCTGTTTTATGTTGTTTCTAGTCTCAAGCTTTGATATTTTCTCATGAATTTATGATGATGTGATGGTGAAATAGCTCCTGGTTCAATCTTTACTTTAGGTCATTACTGGATATTTTTCTTCCAACAGCAGCACTGTGTTAGTTTAGAGCGTCTATTTCCATATGAATCAGTTGGTGCTCCAGCAGGACGGTGTGTGTTCAGTCATAATAAATCAGTGTGTTTGTGTTTGTGTGTGTTCATGGTGATGAAGGAACATGTCAGCCAGTGGAATCGGAGTAAAGTTTAGAGTTCAAAGGTCAACTGAGCTGAGGAGGGTTCTGACCTCGCTGCCTCTGCTGCCACTCAGCAACACGACGCAGGTTTAATTCTGTCCCTTCCAGGCTGACTCATTCCACCTTAAATACCCTCTGGCAGGCGGCAGAGCAGAGGACGAGCTCACACTCTCTCACAGCAGCAGCCACAAACGCCAGCGGCACCATTACGAGAACGACACTGAATTCAATCTGGAAGTTAATGGACGATAAAAGCAAAGCACAGAGACACTGATGATGATGATGATGATGATGATGGCGGCAGGCTGGAGTTGATCGTGAGTCAGCCTGATTTTTTTAAATTAGGTAATTGCACAGTTTTGGCAGTCGCAGAAAAACAGTCTGAAAGAACTGATGTCATTTCAACACTGTGATTATTTGCTTCATTTAAAGGCCAAATTTATATTCCACATTTCCTCCTTCCACTGAATTATGATCTGAATCATCCTGTTAAAGATAAAGTTTTAGTCTGAAACAAGTTCCCATGTTAAAGTTTAAGGCGATTAAAACTAAAACTACTTTGAGTTAAGTTGAGATTAGACTGTAGTGTTGGTTAAATATTAAAAAAGTAAAATCACTGTTGACTTTTTCAGTTTTCAAACGAGGCCACTGCCTCAACAGTCACGCTTCAGTTTCCTGTTACAAATGAAGGTTGTGTAGATGTGATTACTGCCAGACACCATGGGTTACAGCGGCTGCAGAAAACAAATGGATTATTCTGTGTAAAACAAACATTTTAGATATGGAAGTTTATTCATTTAGCCTGTCAGAGGTCAGAGGTCGTGTTGCAGCCTCGACAGAGAGAGCGAGATCGATTTCTCAGGCAGGGATGAATCAAGAATCCTGGACCTTGTTTCTCCTCGTCTGGTTTGGAAAAGCAAAGATGTGACGGACTGATCTGATTGTAATTATAGACGCCACTCAGCATATTTAAGCTTTTATTTTGACATAACGACCACAGCCCAGAAAAACAAAATGGAGCCGGTGCTGTATGTAACCTCAGAGGAAACCCTGTGTGTGATGGAGCCAGACGGCGACTTTCCACTCTACCTTCCCTCTCTAATTAGATCCAACTGGAGAATTCACTTTTGTTATTGAGACAGGGAGAGAAGCCGGAGGAGTTTCCCCTGAGAAACATTAAGAGCCTGAAGAGGCTGTAAAATCTTGGGTTATAATCATCAGAATATGATCCCAGATCAGTTTCAGGTTGCAAAAAATACTGTTTCATGTTCATACAAACAAAAACAGCTGAAAATGGAAGAAACGAAGCTCTAAAGTTACAGCCTGCGGTTTTTATTCTTTAACTTCTTCATTAGAAATCTAACAGACAATATTCATTCATGCTATAAACTCACCACTTTCTTTTAATAAATGATGCGTATCAGATCATGTTTGATCATCAGCAATAATAAATAAATAAAACATGCTCATAGTATTTCCCAATGAACAGACTCCAGAGGGTTCAAATCATGATGGAAGTTATTAAGTGGGACTATGTAACTGTAAGAAACAACAAAATGTTCTTTTTATAAATGAAGATTTTAGTTTTTATGGCTCCTCTCTTCTTGCTTGTTGTTGTTAAACTGCATTTTAAATTGATCTGATGCAGATTAAATATCAGAACATGATAAAAGAAAGTAAGGACATGAATGAGGTTTTGGTTTTGTGATCAGACCTGCAGCCCTGGTTCAGAATTCAGACTTCCTCCTTCATAAATCTGCAGTGAGACGAGGTTCACATGAACTAACTGGTCATGTTCTCACAGTGCATGTGTGGATCAGCTCATTAGAGACTAGAGTTACACAGAAATCCCTGGTAATGAGTCGCTGGTGTTGTGTATTAGAGGAGCTGACGGAGTGGTGCGACTGACGACACTGACGGAGATCTTCTAGAAACAGACAGTCGACGAGGGAGGAGAGGCGAGGAGAGATAAGATGGGAGGGAGGGAGGGATGTGTGGGTGGAGGAGAGAGAGGACGGAGCAGAGATTAGTCATCATGTGGAGTTTGGATGGAGGCGGCGGACGGATGGAGGGATGGAGGGATGGATGCAGAATCTCTCAGTTCTATGTTTAGCTGCGTCTCAGCTTTCTGGTTTAATGGAGATTCCCTCTCTGAGCTGCTGCGCGTCGTCATGCTCTCCCCACTCTGACTGACTCTTTATAGATTTCAGGAGAAAGACAGACGCTCCGTCGTCAGTCAGGGTGGAGGAGGGAAGAAAATCCCCTCTTCAAACACTGTTTCAGTGATGTCACGTTAGCACCTGAGGGAACTGTGACGTCACTCTTTAGTGCTGAAATCTAACCTGCGTCCTGCATCAGAGAGGAGGGAGTGGAAGCACCGCGCGTGTGTGTGTGTGTGTGTGTGTTTGTGGTTCTGTTGTACAAAGTGTGTTTTCTTAACTTATCACAGGAAGTGTGAATAATACAGAGGATTGTATAAATCCTTAATGAAAACTCAAGGCAAACAGAACGCAGCCTCACATCTGCTGCTGTTTACCGCCTCGCTACAGATTAGGGCTGAGGAAAAGGTCAACTGTAACACACACACACACACACACACACATACACATTCAGAGACGCTTAGCAACACAACCTTGACATCCACCGCAGCTGACTGTTCCAGCCGGGGTTTCCCCGACTCATGTCTGAATATATTAAAAGTTTATAAAAGTGTAAGACGTCTTCTCCCAGGTCTTTATGTGTTAGTAATTAGAAAAAGAATAAAAGTGTTTGTTTGTCTGTTTGGCCGCTTTCAGTGACTTCTGTGTCACCCCTGGTGAAATATGTGTATGTATGAAACCCTAACTTAGTCAGTGCTGATGAAGTGTTCCGCCTGTTTCTCTGCAGGCTGCTTGTTTGAGAAGAAGCTCTGTCCCAGAGATCAGCTGTGCAACGATGGTGAGTGTTTGTGTTTCACATTTACATCACATACGCTCTTTTACACGACTGGAGCCATAAGAACGATAGAAATATCATCGTGTAGTCAGGTATAAAGAATAGAAACATAGAATAAAAATGTTTTGTCAATCAGCCTCCTCTCTCCACGAGGCGGTGGCTGCTTTGTTGTGACATCACAAAGTCACAGAAGTCCTGACGGCTGGTTTTAAGGCTCAGTTTCTGAATACAGGCTGTGTGCATTTCTCTGTGGACTGAGGCTTTGATACTTTCACAGTATTGATGCTGTGTAGACGCGTCTTCTGTCCATCAAACAGTCAGGAGCTGGTTCGCTGTCCGTAATCCCTCCGCGGGGTTCCTGCTTCCTTCCTGTCTGCTCAAACATGACGAGGATGTCATTACAGGAGCGTGCACCTGTGTGTGTGTGTGTGTGTGTCAGCCTTCAGGGGCGGCTGCATTATTGATAGCTGTGTGTTGCTGTGTCCACCCCGAGGACGTTATGTTCCCTGTTCCCAGAGAGGGGACTGAAGATGCTTGAAGGAAGTGCATGTACTGAAATACAAGTAGAGAGTAACAGCACACAGTTATTCCAGGTTGCATTCAAAAAATTATAATTCTATGTTTTTCAACATCTGGAATATTTGAATAAAAATGAATTTGAATCCAGAATTCATTTGAAAAAAACAGTTTTACGTCTTTAAACATCAATTTTTATAAAATTCAGCAGATCACATCTCAATACTGTGTTTCAGTGTGAGTCATCATCAGAGTGTGTGTGTGTGTGTGTGTGTGTGTGTGTGTGTGTCCGTGCTGAATGTGTGTGTGAGGTTCAGAGAGAGAGAGAGAGAGAGAGAGAGGCCGTGATAACCAAAGGGACGGGGCGAGCGACCAAGCCAGAGAATAGAGCGAGAGTGGAACATAAACAAGGTCTCCCTCCGTCAGCTGCTCCGTGGCCAATCCCAGCTCAGCCTGGCCGTCGCCACGACAACGGTGACATCACTTGCCTGACGACTGTGTGTCTCCCTCATGTGTGTGTGTGTGTGTGTGTGTGTGTGCGCGTGTGCGTTTGATGAGAGATGGGGGGGAGACAGAGGTGATGACTCACCAAGGGCCACACACACACACATACACACACACACACACACACACACACACACACACACACACACACACACACACACACACACACACACACACACACACACACACACAATACGGTTTTATATTGGTGCAGGTGTATTGAGATGTTGCCTCTGCTGTGAATGAAACTGCGGAGCCACTAGAGATGAGAGGCAAAGTTATTTAGAGTTCGTAATGTGGCGTATTTAATGTCCAGATAATAAACACATGATGAAATCCTGGAGGACGTGAACGACGGTCTTCTGCTCTGACTTCTCTTCCTGTGCAGACGGTTTGTTCGGACAGTGCCAGGCTCCTCAGCAGGAGCCCCGTCCAGTACCAGGTGTCTGTACCTGTCCTGCACAAAACTGCAGGAAGTCCTCAAAGACCTGATGGTGCAGGGTGAGTGTCCGTCTCTTTCACGCTGCTGCTTCCAAAGAGAAGAAGTTTGATTGACTGACGTTTCCTCTCGCCCTCTGGCCGCTCAGGTCTGACGTGGAGGGACGACGTGACCCAGGCGATCATCAGCCGCGAGCTGAGTCGTGTTTCCCACCATCAGCTCCTCCTCCAAGCTTCATGAGAGGACGCCCAAACAGTGAGTCCAGTAAAGACCAGTGCGACAACAAAACAGCACGTTGTAATATTTAAAAGATCTCGTTTCCCAGGCCCTCCAGACTGTCCGGTCAGCGTCGGGTCCAGGGGCCCGAGGGTCCGGCGGACCCCGAGATGATGCAGCAAGTATGTGGACTACATGATCCTGGATCCCTCCCGATCCTCCGTCCACATGCAGACGCCGCTGCTGGACCCTAACACTACCACCAGGTAGACAAACGACGGTTTGGAGAGAGACGCAAACAGCAGTCTGCCCCCTGGTGGTTAGAAGGTGACGTGTGTTGTTTTGTTGGTTGCAGCAGCAGTACGGCTACCAGGAGGAGGAGGAGCGCTCCCTTCAACTCTCTGGAACGATAATCCAGCCTTCCGCCATTCGCCTCGCCCTCTCGCTCAGATCCAGAGGACCTCTGGACCGAGACCGTCAGATTCTCCAGGACCTGGTGTCCTTTTACCTCACCCCCCGTCTCCTCTTCTCCTCCTCCTCCTCATCCTCACCTGTGCAGTCCCTCTCCCGCCACAGGGGAGCAGCTGCAGCTTTCCCCTCTTCACTGTCTTCCTCATCCTCCTCCTCATCCTCTCTTTCTTCCCCGAGCTGGACTTCCCTCTGGACTACGGCCGAGGACGTACGTTTCCCAGATGTCCCAGCTCAGCAAACAGAAACAGCAGCAGCAGGAGAGCAGGAGCAGCAGGAGCAGGCGGAGAAGAAGGCACAGAAAGGAACACAACGCCCTGTCAGGGCTGGACGGTGAGAGAAGAGAGAAGAAGTTCAGAATGTAAAAAGTACCAACATGTAAAAAACGTATGTCCTTCCTCCTCAGTGTTTCCTTTTCTGGTCACAAGACGGACATTATTTCCTCCTGAGATGGAGCGGAGGGAAAGTCGCGGCCATAACCCACGTTGTTGTTTCACAGAGCGCTCTCTGCAGAGACTGGCTCTGCTGCTCGATCCACTCTAGACTGG